TTTTGAGTTCAGGGTTCCCTCGAGGTCTCCGAGTTTGGGTTTGGGGTTGGGTCTTTAGAGTTTATAGGGTTTGGGGTTCAGGGTCGAGCCCTAAACCCTAAAGCCCTAAGCCCTAAGCCCTAAACCCTAAACCCTAAACCCTAACACAAAAAACCTAAACCCTAAACCCTAAACCCTAAACCCCAAACCCCAAATCCGAAACCCTAAACCCTAAACCCTCAACCCTAAACCCTGCCGATTCCGCAAGGGTGCCCAGGAGCAGCCAGGGGGAGGCGTCAGTAAGGGAGCTCCTTCGGTGCAAGTGGGGGGGAAACCTTGGGGCTTAGGAGGGACCTTTGGCCTTGAAGCCTTCTAGGGTTTAGGGTTTAGGGTTTAGGGTTTAGGCAACCGAGTTAAGGCTTAGGGTTGAGGGCAAGGAGATCTTATGTCTTGTTTACTCTCCAATCTTCGAGTCGGGGTCGGGGTTTCGGGCACCAACCCCTAGGCCCAAGCTCATGCGTAGGCAGACGGCTAAAACGCCCAAACCCTGAACAATACAAACCCTGAACCCTAGAAGACCTGAGCGTTTCCCAAAGGTCGCAACCCTAAACCCTAAACCCTAAACTTGTGCTTCCCCAAGAGCACTGGAACAAGCTGAAGGCCCGAAAGCTGCCAAAATATGATCCGTCTTTTAGCAAAGTGCAAATAAACACCCGTAAACCCGAACTCCTGAACCTTAGCCCTAAACCCTAAACCCTAAACCCTAAACCCTAACCCCAAGCTGTCCAGAGCTCCGACAGGAAGCGCCGCCAGGCGGGCTTCGGAACCATGGGGCGCTCCCAGGGGCCATCCTACCATGAATTGTAGGGTTTCGGGTTTAGGGTTTAGGGTTTAGGGTCTAGGGTTAGGGTTTAGGGTTTAGGGTCTCCCTCCCATGTTACTTCCCCGGATCGAGCTTCTCGGGCTTGGGGTATTCAGGTTAGGGTCCAGGGTTATAAGTTCAGGGTCCAGGGTCTTGCCAGAGGGGGCAGGGGGGAGGGCGGCGTTAGGGTTTAGGGTTTAGGGTTTGTGGTTTGGTGTTTGGGAGGGTTTGGGAGAGTTTGGGTTTGGGGTTTAGGGTTTAGGGTTTAGGGTTAGGGTTTAGGGTTTAGGGTTTAGGGTTTAGGATTTAGGGTTTAGGGTTTAGGGTTTAGGGTTCAGCTTTCAGGGTTTAGGGTCCTCCTGCTCGTCCCAACTGTCCGGCTGGCGCGCCGACCAGTCCTGGGTCCAGTGCTCCAAATTGGGCTTTTCAGGAATTTGGGTTTCGGGTTTAGGGGTTGAGGGTTTAGTGGTTTATAGGGTTTAGGGTTTAGGGTTTAGGGTTTAGGGGGTTTAGGGGGTTTAGGGTTTAGGGGTTTATAGGGTTTAGGGTTTAGGGTTTAGGGTTAGGGTTTAGGGTTTAGGGGGAAGGGTTTAGGGTTTCGGGTTTAGGGTTTAGGGTGCCCTGAACCCTATACCCTAAACCCCTCACCCCAAAGCCTTGTCAATTTGGAGCTTTGCCTTGAAGATAGGAGTTCCCTTGAAACTTGACCACCCAACAACCGTAAACACCCCCCCCCCCCCCGAGCCAGGGGCTGTAAGGTTACGTAGGCGGCTTACAAGGTTGCGGGTTAAGAGTTTATGATGTTCGTGGTCCCCCTAAACCCTAAACCCTAAACCCTAAACCCTCAACCCTCAAACCTAAACTCTAAGTACCTTCGGGGACCGCAACTTAGAGAATTCGTGTGCGCTCGTAGTGCTTAGGTTGAGAATTTCGACACCAGCTGCCCTAAGCCCACCCTGAAGACCCCCAAATCATCACGCCATGACTGCCTAGCCCTAAACCCTAAACCCTAAACCCTAATCCCTACACCGTAAGCCCCTATGCAAAGCCTCATCGCTCGACTCTTGTGCCCAGCAGCCGGCATCATCTCCACCTCACCACCCATGGCAGCGGCAGCCTTGGCGCAGCAGCTGTCGTGGCTCCTCGGATTTAGGGTTTAGGTAGTGTAGGGTTTAGGGTTTTGAGAGTTCTAGGGTTTGGGGTTTATAGTGCTTAGGGTTTAGGGTTTAGGGATGGGATGTCCCCCTTTTACTAACAGCCCTTAACTTGGCTGCACTTAGGAGGGTAGCAAAAAACTAAACTTTTATAAGAAACCCAATAAACCCAAAATTTCTAAAGATGTAAAGTTACAGTAAAGCACCACAAAGTTAATAGGGATTAGAGTACCCCCCCCCCCGAATGATAGTCCTTGTTACGGAGCTGTTAGTACAAGGGGGACATCCCAAGATTTAGGGGTTTGTCGGGGCCTGTCGGGGCCTGGGGGGGGGGGGGGGGGGGGGCGATGGAGGTGGTCTTGGGCTTAGGGCTTAGGGCTTAGGGCTTAGGGCTTAGGGCTTAGGGCTTAGGGCCTAGGGCTTAGGGCTTAGGGCTTAGGGCTTAGGGCTTAGGGCTTAGGGCTTAGGGCTTAGGGCTTAGGGCTTAGGGCTTAGGGTTTAGGGTTTAGGGTTTAGGGTTTAGGGTTTAGGGTTTAGGATTTAGGGCTTAAGGTTTACAGCAGGGCTCAGGGTGAACGAGGTTAGGTCTAGCATGCAAGACGCCGGGGGCGATGACTAACAGACAAAAACCAAGCCCTATTGTTGACCTCGAAACCACCTAACCCCCCCCCCCCCCAATTCCTAAAGCCCTAGGGGAACTAACTACCATAAAAACATTCTGCAAAGCACGGAATTTCGGCCCAAGCTGCGCCACCATCTGGAGGCAGCATGCTGCAGTAATGGCGGCGAGCAATGGCGCCATTGCTCCCCCACACACGAAGGGACAGGGAGCTCTTATAGGACTTACTTACAAGGGGTTTAAGGTGTTGGGCTGAGGGGAATTTTAGGGTTTCGGGTCTATAGAGTATGCGGTTGACTTACATATAAGGGTTTAGGGCCTTAGGGCTTAGGGCTTGGGGATGTTAGGGTTTCGGGCTTAGGGTTAGTTTCGGGAGATGGGATCATTGAACCAGCAACAGGCTTACGGAGCTCAAGCCCTCCGTACAAACGCTGAATCTCACCTAACTGCGACCTGGTACCACACCCTCATTCGCCCCAAGCCCCCACAAGTGGAACCTCAAATCCGCCCCCGAAATCCCAAAAAGCCTATAAAGCAGATGCCACCAGCCCTGAGCAGTCTCTGGACACTGTGGGTGTGGGTTGGGGCCATTTATAGGGTTCAGGGTTGCAGTTCGGGGCGCGTGAGGTTGATCCAAGCCTCCACCTTCCAACAGGACTCATTCATAGATTGTTTTTTGTTATAGTAGTATGTGTATACATACATACATACATGCATACATACATACATACATACATACAGACATAAAAACCCATAGAAGCAATGACAACATCCCACACCGACGCTATCAGGTACTTGTCGCACCTGTTTTGTCATGTCCTTAATTTCTGCAAGCCTAAGCCCCAAACCCCAAACCCCAAACCCCAAACCCCAAACCCCAAACCCCAAACCCCAAACCCTCAACTCTCAACCCTAAGCCCTAAGCCCTAAGCCCTAAACCCTAAACCCTAAACCCTAAACCCTAAACCTTAAACCTAAACCCTAAACCCTAAGCCCTACGACGACTGGGACTGCCGGCTCGATGCTTCGAGGCTCCTCGGGTGACCTGGCTTTCGAGGGAGAGCCCGAACTCCAAACATGCAGGGTTTAGGGTTTAGGGTTTAGGGATTAGGGTTTAGGGTTTAGGGTTTCGGGTTTGGGGTTTAGGGTTTAGGGTTTAGGGTTTAGCGAGGGTGTTGGAGTTGAGATCCTACAGGGCTCAGCGGTTCGGAGCCTGAGCCGGTCCAGGCTTTAGGGCTTAGGGCTTAGGGTTTAAGGTTTAGGGCTTAGGGTTTAGGGCTTAGGGCTTAGGGTTTAGGGTTTAGGGTTTAGGGTTTTGGGTTTTGGGTTTTGGGGTCCTGGGGATTTAGGTCTACGGCTTGTGGCCGGAAGCTAGGATCTGTATGCGGCGGTAGCGTTTAGGGGTTTGCGTTTGGGGTTTCAAGTTGAAGCACTTTCACCAGGAATACGCTGCGTGTGCCTCACACCCACAGGTACAGATCCCATACCAGGCAGATGAGATGCACTGCTTCGACGTAAGGGCATCTTGTATGACAACTTTAAAAAAATGACACCTAACCCTAGCTACAGAGCTTCAGGGGTCTGTAGGGGTTTTACGGGCTAAACAATCGATTTTCAGCAGGTTTCGGATAGAGTGCCTTTTGTTTGTTGGGCTCTGAAAACACCCCCCCCCCCCCGGCCCCCAGAAAAATCAAAAAGGCTACCCTTATGCGGCTCAGAGGAATGTCACCCTGGACCCTAAACCCTAAACCCTAAACCCTAAGGCCAGACCCCTTCCATTCCGCAGCGAGCTGTGGACTGGCTCAGGCTCCGAACCGCTGAGCCCACTAGGATTTCAACTCCAACACCCTGCCTAAACCCTAAACCCTAAACCCCAAACCCCAAACCCGCAAAAGTGCCCTTCGTTGAGGACATCCTAAGCACCCCTAGTCTTACCCGAAAAAATCACAAACCCTAAACACCCTGATTTCCCCGTGTGCTTCGAGCTAGCACCAACTTTCGAGGCCACAGAAAGGAAGGCTACCGCCTTGGGTTTGAGGTTTGGGTAACAATTCTCGGCTCGAGGGAACTTTTTGCCAGGTCCCGGCAATGCGGGGTCTGGTTGCGTGGAGAACCCTCTCTGTGGAGTCATACCACTCTATGCAACAGGATTGCCCTCGCGCGCACTCTGCCCCTCAGACTGTGGTTGAAGACTGCCAACGGCCCTCTTGCCGTGTCTTAACCAGCACATCGTAGAAGCAAATGTGTTACGCGCGAACAAAAACTTGCGGTGCAGATCAGGAAACCGTATTCCGGTTCTCGTCGAAAGTTATCGTGATGTCACCAAGTTGTGACACCCGTGAAATAGCCGAAGACCATTTACCCAACAGGCTTTGCCAGCAGCTCGTCACCGATTAGTCTTTTGCCAATCGGCGGCTTTCCCAATGTCACCAACAACGGAAATTTGAGCCTCATGCTGCGTGTATAGGAATGGGTATCTTACAAGCAGCTCCTTAAGTCGTGTCACCAATGACAAATCAATTGAATGCTGTGTCCGATTTGCAATCAACATCTGGTTTCTCAGTGGCTGGTACCAAAAGATTGATTTGTCATCGGCGCTGATGTCGCTCAGCATGCTAATGCCAATCTCTGTTAAGTGTATTGCCTCAGGAACAGACGTGTCCCACCAAAGTTGCATCTTGGCTTGCTCAAAGAAAACCATGCTTCGATCCCACTTGAACCTGGAGAGGTCAAGCGCCCTTGAAAACCACGCACGAGCTTCCTCATGCTCTCCTTCCCAGGATAAACTCTCAGCGTAGACCCTCAGCACGGCAACGGCCCGGCTGTTTTGGACAGGGTTGGAAGCAAGTTGCATTGCCGTGGGCAACATGTCATGCAACATGCGCATGGCGAGTTTGGCGTCACCGGTGGCCATCTCATTATCAGCCATCTCAACCAACGATACAAAAAGGATGTCGTCAGGACAGCCTGTTTGATTCATACGCAGAAGAGCTTCGCGTGCGGGCTGGTCCCAACCTTGCAAGTTGCTTGCAAGTGCAGCAGCAAGGTGCGCACGCCAGCAGGCAGATGATCGCGTGGCAAGCTCATCGCACGCACGGGCAACGGCGTCCTGCCTGTACTTGATGCAGTCGTGAAGCTTTCCTTGAAAAAAACTTGTCAAGCCGCAAGCGACGTTTTGCGCAAGAGGTGCGGCCTCGTACGAGATGCATACATCCATAGCCAGCTTGTATGACTCAGAAAAGAATCCCTGCAAGCCATACAACATCGCCAAACAAGTCTTCGAGGTGCTGTCACTACTGTTTAGCAGAACTCGCTCAGCATGTGCAAGGTCTTGCACATCCAGTCGAATGTACGGCCCATCGCAGAAAGAATACGTAGGATGGTCATCAAGATAGATACTGACCTCATCGACTGCGAATTGCATGTCAGGAAAAAGCACGTGAAGCCAACAAAGAACAAGAGTCAAGCTGGCGAGCAAGAAAGCGAGCGAAGAAACTGCGATCTTCTTCCTCGAGATGAACAACTTGGCAGGTCTTGGGGTGATGTGGGTACCGCTCCAGTAGTCAAGATTTTGCCGCCACTCCACATGGGCACCTCGATGCCGAAGCTTGCGTGCAACTTCTTCCACAGCCGCGCCAGGCTCCCCTATATGCCTTGCAAGTTTCAGTGCAAAGTCGTTCTCATCTGGGGCTTCTTCACCAGATAAGCACGCGTAAAGATAGAAATGCTCTCGTTGAACTGGTCTCTGAAAGCGCAACTTTCTACGAAAGCTGTCCTTCACTGAATACGCTGTTGGCTGGATGATTGGAGGCAGCCTTGGAGAGACGATTGCCTTTGCTATCTGGAGCCTGCAGGAGTTGAGCGCACCTCAGGCCATGAGTAAACACTTCCGGGAGGATCATCGTAATCTTCATCAAACATAAGTTAGTAACAACACATGTAAGAATAACAGACAGGAATACAAGCCTAAGATCCCGAAGACAATGACTGTCTAGGATAATCAATGAGTCTAGGATTATCAGTGAATCAAGTGCTCAAAAATGTGCACTGGCCAAAAACAACTTCCACAGAGCTTTCTGCAGGAAGTGCACAGATGAAGAATGCAAACTCGGACAGCTGCTTACAAACCTCGTCGACACAGACATCAGCTGCGAACGTATCGGAATCTGGAGCTTTCATGTACAGCTGCTCATCATACTGGTAGCTATGCCCCGCAAAAAACAAGAAGTTCCGCGGAATCAGTGTTCCTGTCTGCGCAAAGGCTGCGATCTCTTGGCGAAGTTGCGCTGATGTCGGTTTGCAGACCAACTGGTGCCTTCCTTGCGTCGCTGTCTGCCATGCTTGCCTAACGGCCGAGGCATCACGAACACAAAAACTCAGAGGCTCAGCGCCAATTGTGTAGCGATCAATTCCTATACACAAGACGTTCCAATCTGTACTGCGCAGTGGCATTGCTCGAGACAGTCCTGGTGATGCTACACCCTCTGCGAGCAGGGAAACAGCATGTCCGTGTCAGCAAGGGTAATAGTGGACAGCTTGTTTGAATCTAGCAATCTTTCTGCATATGCTTGCTTGGCAACAAGACGATGTCGTGATAGCTTTAATACAAACAATGACCATGCATCAGTAAGACTGGACATCCACCCTACCTTGCAAGTTCCTGACGCCCCACACCACATGGCCCAGCCAGGGGTACATGGTGGAAGCAAACTTAGGCGAACGCCACCAAGATTTCTCAAATGGATTGTCGCAGCAAGAAGCAAGAGTCAGCATAATCACATGACAGCCTGACATAGTGCACGCGGCTACCCTGGGTGTGCAATCGGCTTCCCTCTAAACCCTACACCCTACACCCCACACCCCAAACCCTAAACCCTAAACCCTAAACCTTAAACCCTAAACCCTAAACCCTTAACCCGAAACCCTAATCCCTGAGTCGCGGGACAAACCGGGGAGGCGCGAGGCCTCTCCGGCAGGCTGGACAGCACCCGCGACAGCTCGGCCAAAGCCTGCAGTGAGGCACAAAGGCCTGTGTGGGGTCTAGGGTTTAGGGTTTAGGGTTTAGGGTTTAGGGTTTAGGGTTTAGGGTCTTAACTACTATTTGCTAATGAAGCCCAAAAAATAAAGAAAATAAGTAGTCTTCCTTATAGAGGCAACATAGGGATAAATTTGTGTTTTAGCTTTTTGGCGGGTTCTGAAGCACATGGTAGGTTTCGGGGGCGAGGGTCGGGGTTTGGGGAGCAGTTTCAGGGTTTAGGGGTTCAGGGCTTTGGGGCATTGGGGTTTCGGAATTGGGGTTTCGGGGCTTAGGGTCTTCTAGGAAAGGAGCATGCCCTGGTCTGCACGTGACCTGCTGCATGCTCTCAGACCGGCAGGGTTACAGGGTCCCGAAACCCGAAACCCTAAAAGGAGGACAGGGAAGCCTAGGTAGCCCTCAAGGACTTAGAGGTTCTGGGAGCTCAGTTGCTTTGGGGCTTAGGCCGCCTAAACCCTAAATTTCAAAGCCAAACACCCCAGGTATAATCCTAAAACCCTACGCGCACCCCTAGCCCTCATCCGTAACCCCCTAAACACCTGCAGAACATTAACAGCATTCTTAAACATACCCTAAACCCCAAAACCACAAACCCTAAACCCTATAAACCCTAATTATATCAACCAGGCTCCTGAGCATTCTGTTCGCCGCGCGGGTTGGCGCTGGGTGGAATCGCCGAGAAGGTCGCCCACTTGGCTGCAAAACTGGCGAGCCTTGGTGGTGGTGTAGGGTTTAGGGTTTAGGGTTTAGGGTTTAGGGATTAGGGTTTAGGGTTTAGGGTTGAGGGTTTAGGATTCAGGGTTTAGGGAGTTTCGGTCTGGCCCTTTGGAGGCTACCATGGTTTGTGGTTGCAGTTTACTCATGTAGGGTTTAGGGTTCAGCGTTTCGGGTTATGCCCACAAGCAACCCCCATGCATACGTATAAACATATGTAGAAATGAGCACACACACACACACACACGTATACTGGGGGCACAGGGAAAACCACGTATATATGTACAAATAATGTACACCGACCAGTGTGTAAAACAATCAACACACTCCCGAGGAACTGCAATATGCATCCTATCTCATATACCCTCTTTGCTTGGCTGGGTACATGCACTTGCATCTACAAATGCATATACGTGTCTAAAAGTGCAAATATACATACAGAAATACATACTACCCTATAGAATAGCATGGGTTCGAAACATCTCAAAGCTAGACCCTAAACCCTAAACCCTAGATACCACCCACCGCAAGAAATCCGAGACAACCGCTGGCAGAACTGGCTGGGGATTACGGCCAGGGTCGGTTCTGGTCTGAAAAGGAAGGGCAAGTACGCATGCCCCTCCCCCCCCCCCCCCCCCCCCCCCCGCCCTAAAATAAAAGTATGTATGTATGTATGTATTTATGTATAATATATATATATATATATAAACATAGGCGGGCGTCGGATTCAAGACGCCCCCTATTTGCTTGAATCCAAGGTACGTCTTAAATCCCGCGCCCGGCTATATACATATATATATATATATGTCTATGTAGGTATAAGAACTATTGGTCACTAGTTGGCGCCGCGAAGCTCATTTGCAGCACTATACGAAACCCTAAGCCCGAAGCACTTGCAGTGAAACCCTAGACCCCCGACAGGGAATCCGAGCGAGCTGTGCTAGAAGCTCCAAGAGGTGCTACAATCGACCGATTCTGATTGCACTGCTTTTCTCCGATGGTTGAAAGGGTTTTGGGTTAGGGATTAGGAGGTTAGGAGTCTGAGGTTTAAGAAGTTAGGGGTTTAGAGTTTAGGGTTTAGACTTTACGGTTCAGGCGTTGGGGTTTATTTCTTGCTTGATGGGGCTTAGAAAGGAAGCAGAGCCCCCCTGAAAAATGATAAGCGACAAGCTGGTGGTGCTTAAGGCTTTCCTTGGGGACGAAACGAACCCGTGCGGATGGAACTGGTCTTAAGACCCCGTACTTATGGCTCGCATAGGGGTTTCCGAGGGTCCTATTACAAAGGAATCCTCCTATTTGGGGACCTATACTGGGGGCTTTCTGTGTTCGTAAAACCCCATACACCTTCACAGGTAGTACAGTAGTACAGTAGCATATGACCCCCACCCCCCCCCCCCCCCCCCCCAATTTTGTGGTTCAGCTACCCAAGCCGCAGGGCTCTTCGGGACCCCTGCGGCCAAGTAGCCAGCTGGTCGAGACGAAGAAGAGGACGATGGCGGGCGTCCTAGCAGCCCCACCGAACCCTAAGCCTTCAGGGCTTGGCGTTGAGGGCTTAGAGCTTGGACCACATGAACTTTAAATGAGCCCCCCAAAAATGCGGGGGGGGGGGGGGGTCATGTACCCTATACTGCTAGAAGTCCCATGATAAGGTATATGAACTCCCCAAATTGGGGGGTCTATACTACTATAAGTCCAATTATAGGGTATATGAACCATGAACCCTAAACCCTAAACATATGAACCACAAAACCTTAAGCCGTAAGTTCTAAACCCTAAACCCTAAACCCTAAGCCCTAAACTCTAAACCCTAACCCCTTTTGGGGGACATTTCGTCCCCAAGCGACCACTTCAAGCTCTGCACCTCCAGCCGTCCTGAGTGGATGCCGGAGACGACGCATGGCGAGGCGTGCGAGTTAGCGGGTTTAGGGTTTAGGGTTTAGAGTTTAAAATTAAGGTTTAGGGTGGAGAGTTTGGGCTTAGAGTTTGGGGTATGGGGTCTAGGGTGTAGCGCCTGGGGAGCTTGGGGTTTACAGAAAACTCCTTAAAGTTGGAACATGGTTTAAGGACGATGAGTGCTGGGATTCCCTTTAGTAGCCCTCTGGGGGTATGAGGATAATGATGTTCCAACGTTTGGAAGGTTACTGTAGGTTTAGGGTATGGGGTGACCGAACCCGAAACCCTAAACCCTAAACCCTAAACCCTAAACCCTAAACCCTAAACCCTAAACCCTAAACCTTAGATCATGAATGCTAACCTCACATCCTGCGCACCCGAACCCCTGAGCCATGGGGCTGAACACCCAACTGAGCTGGTATAGCAAGGAACGCGGTTAGGGTTAATAGGGTTTAGGGTTTAGGGTTTAGAGTTTAGGGTTTAGGGGATTTCGGGATTTGTTGCGGTCTTAGGGTCTCGGGATTAGGTTTTGGGGATTTTAGGCTTTGGGCCTTTGAGATGACGTCACGTATTCGGGTTTTTGGTTCAGGGTGGATGGTTTAGGGTTCAGGGTTTAGGGTTTAGGGTTTGGGGTTTAGGGTTTAGGGTTTGGGGTTTGGGGGATTCGTGGGGGGTTGGACCCCTCTGAACCCAGCCCTTCCTGAAGTGGGGCGGCTTATGCTGCGAATACCGCCCAAAAAGGACACCCTGCTTTTTTTCGCTCACCAGTATCCCTAAAGAGGCCAAACCCTAAACCCTAAGCCCTAAACCCTAAGCCCTGGCCCCTAAACCCTAAACCCTAAACCCTAAACCCTAAACCCTAAACCCTAAACCCTAAACCCTAAACCCTAAACCCTAAACCCTAAACCCTACTTCAATCTGCCCAGGGCTCTGGGGCCGAGGATTGTGGATTTCGGGGTTTTTACCCCTTCCAACCAGCGGCCAGCTGCGTAGTTAGTGCGCGGGCTTCCAAACTAAACCCTGAACCCTAAACCCTAAACCCAAAACTCGAGACCTGAAACTCGTTGAGGGTTGAGGGTTTAGTTAGGGTTTAGGGTTTAGGGTTTAGAGTTTAGGGTTTAGGGCTGAACCCTAACCCTAAACCCTAAACCCCAAACCCCAAAGGTCGAACTGTGCCAGCTAAGCTTCAAAGTCTGGTGGGTTAGGGCTTAAGGGTTTAGGGTTTAGGATTTCGGGTTTCGGGTTTAAGGCATAAGGGTTTAGGGTCTAGGGGTTGAGTGCTTATAGGGTTCATAGAAGGGGGTTTACGAGAGTTTAGGGCTATAGGGTTATAGGGCTGATAGGATTTTCTTGTGGGTTCAGAAGGTTTGCAGAGCTCAGGGCTATGGATTCGGCTGCCAAGCCATCACTCTTCTCTCCCCCCCCCCACCCCCCCCCCCCCCCCACCCCCCCCCCACCCCCCCCCCCCCCCCCCCCCCCCACCCCCCCAACCCCCCAGCCTGGGTTAGGGTTTAGGGTCTTAGGGTTTAGGGTCCTAGGGTTTAGGGTTTGGGGTCTAGGGTTTGGGGTTTAGGGTTTAGGGCTTAGGGTTTGGGGCTTAGGGTTTGGGGTTTAGGGTTTAGGGTTTAGGGTTTAGGGTTTAGGGTTTAGGGTTTACGGTTTAGGGTTTAGGGCTTGGGGTTTAGGGTTCAGGGATTGGGGTTTAGGGTTCACCCTTGGGCAGCTGAACGAACCTCTGGGATCCCGACAAGCCTCCTGTCCAGGAAATCGGGGTTTTGAGGTCTTGGGTTTAGGGTTTAGGGTTTAGGGT